AGGACCAAATAAGTCAAGATGCAAGAGTTCTAAAGGTTTAGAAGTTGATACACACTTCTTTGGTTTAAAAGAAACTTTTGTTTGCTTTCCAAATTGACATGCATCACAAATTTTGTCCTTTTCAAAACAAATTTTTGGCAAGCCTCTAACCAGTTCTTTTTTCGAAATTTCCTTTAATAAATCCATGTTAAAATGACAAAGTCTCCTATGCCACAACCAAGGATCATCATTTGAAGCTTTAAGACATTTGAAGCTAGATGAATCAATTTTATCAAGAACCACAATATATATGTCGTTAAACCTCTTACCTTTGAACACAACATTATATTTGGAATCAAGCACAATGCATTCATGCTTTTTAAACAGCACGTTCAAGTCTGTATCACACAATTGACTAACACTAAGCAAGTTATAACCTAAGTTATCAACTAAGAGCACATTATGAACAAAAGTTTCACCATCCTTACCAACATCACCTATTCCAATTGTCTTAACTTTCACATCATCACCGAATGTCACCTTTCCACTTGATTTTGATTTTAGCTTTATGAACAAAGAGGGATCACCGGTCATATGCCTTGAGCAGCCGCTATCAATAAACCATTTGGACTTGTTTGAGCCTTTTTCCTGAAAAGAGAAAATGTTTGGTACCCTTTTTAATTTTTGGGTCCACAATAGTTAGCATTGTATCTCACTAACCACATGCATTTCATCCCTTTGTTCAGATTTCTTTTCACATAGCAATCTCCTTTCAAATGCCCTTTTTGACAACAAAAATCACACATAATGGAAGAGTCCTTAACATGTACTGGTTTGACATATCTCAATCCACTTCTTCTATATGTTGTGAAACCATGTGCATTTTTGTTGTGTGCAAATGTTCTTTGATGAGCAGTAAGAAAGGTAGATGACATGTTCTTTTTGAGAAAATCTTATTTCCTTGCTTTCAAAGTCTCATCCAAGTTGTTCATTCTTTTCTTCAAATCACCATGTCTTTCCTTCAGCATTTTACAAATATTTGTCTTTCTATCAAGCTCATTTTGAACATTAAATCTGGCTCTTACAAGACAGTCATTGTCAGTCTTTAGTTGTTTATTTTGTTGAAGAAGACTTGTATTTTCATGAATGAGAAAAGTAATTTTCTGTTTTAGCTGCTTGTTTTTATCATAAGATTCCTTCAAGGCATTATGCAGTTTTTCAACAAAGGATTCAAAATCATCGTCTTCTTCATCATCACTTTCAGATTGAGAGTGTATGGAAGTTACCTCATTATCTCCAATAGCCATGAAGGCCATTTGAGTTGATTCTTCCTCTTCTTCAACTTCCCCTTCAAAGTTGCATTCATTCCAAGTAATCTGGAAGTTGTTGAATCTTGGCTTTCGATCAGCTTTCCCATCTTTCATTTTCTTCATGGGGCATTCGTTTGCATAGTGTTCAGGCTGTCCACATTCATAGCATTTGTCCACTAGCTTCTTGTTGAATTCTTGTTTTCCTTTGTTCCTTACATTTGATGAATAATTTTGAAATTGATTGCTAGGTCCTCCCTTTCTAAACTTCCTTTTATTCAAGATTCTCTTGAAACCTCTTGTGATGAGAGCAAGATCATTATCATCACCATCCGAGTCTTCATCATCCAAGTGAGCTGGATCATCCTCACTTTGAGTAGTCTTTAGAGCAATATTTCTCTTTGCTCTAGCATCCTCTTCCTCCTGCACTTTAGATTTCAGTTTCAACTCATAAGAGGTTAGTGAGTTAATGAGAGATTCAATAGGCACAAAATTTAAATCCTTAGCCTCCTCTATTGCAGTCACTTTATTTTCCCATTCTTTGCCCAATGCATTGAGAATTTTCCTGTTCTTCTCTCCCAAGGTATACTCTTTGCCCAACACCTTGAGATTTTTGATCAAGTCATTGAACCTGCAATACATTTTATCAATATCCTCAAGAGGTTCAATTTTAAATGATTCATATTTTGTGAGCAAAATAGCCTTTTTCTGTTCTCTCATGTTGTCACCACCCTCATAGATTTCTCTTAGCTTATCCCATATTTCTTTGACCGATTTACAGCCTTTCACTCTAATTGATTCATTTGAATCTAAGGCACTATAAAGAACATTCATGGCCTTGGCATTCAATGTGAGGTTAGTCCTATCTTGAGCATTCATTTCAGCTCTCGTTTTTGGCCGAAGCAACCCTGTATCTGCATCAAGAAAGTTAGCTTCATGCGGTCCTTCACTCACAATAAACCATAGCTCAATATCAATAGATTGCAAAAAGATAATCATCCTTTCTTTTCAGCTAACATAATTGGAGCCACTGAACATGTGAGGCCTAGTAACAGATTGCCCTCAACAAACATAGTATGACTGGTTGTCATCTTTACTCCAAGCAGTTTGAGCTTAATCTCTAGGAGACCAAGCTCTGATACCAATTGTAAGTCCCAAAGACAACCTAAGAGGGGGGGTGAATTAGGTTGATTAAAAACTTAATCAAGTTTATGCAATTTTTTGCTTAATAAAAATTTACCTTCTTTTCTCGTAATGATCAATCAAGTAAATTAGAAGAAGAGAGCAATACTAATTCGAAAAACAAGTATAGATAAGCAATGAGAATTTTATTAAACAAAAAAATAAGATAGAATATCAAACCGATTGTCTACCAAACTTTTCTCAAACTTGAAGACCAATCACTAGGTTGAGGAACTTCTCTTTGATGAAAGATGATCAACTAGATGTACAATGGAGGGAGCACTTCCTCCTTGCCCTAAACCTCACTTAGTCAAGTTAAGAAGTTTTACAAACATTCAGATAACCCTCAACAAAGCTACACTATTGAAACTTTCAACCACAAGAGAAATGCTCACAAGAAATTCACACCACTTGGAGAACAAATCTAGCGTTGGAGACTATTTTCTAGCTAAAATATCTCTTGAGATCTTGTAAACAAAGTGTGCAAAAGTCCATATCTGATTCAGAATCGTTTGTATTTAAAGGGAACCAAAAATGGATTTCATTAATACTTCCAACGGATAGAAGGCATATGAAGAGTCAGCTAGCCGTTGGGGCTGTCGGACGTCCGACGGCTTAGTCATCGTCCGAACCCATTGTTCGAAAAACAGTCAAGTTGTTGTTCGGACGTCCGATGGAATTTTATCGTCCGAGCTTCAGTGTCCGAACGTCGTCCAGAGAGTTATCAAATCTTCGTGGAATTTTTAGGACGTCCGATGAGATTGATGTACGTCCGAAGCATGCGTCCGATCCTTCAGGACGTCCGATGCTTCCTTACGAGCGTCCGACAGAGTCTTGGCAGAGAGTCATCAATACTTTGTGAAATTTTTAGGACGTCCGACACGATCGATGTGCGTCCGAAGAGTGTGTCCGATCCATCCGGACGTCCGATGCTTTCTCACGAGCATCCGACAGAATTTCCTTCCTGATGTTCTTCATCCTTTCGGACGTCCGACAGATTCCTTTGGACGTCCGACATGGGTGTCCTGTTTTTGCTTCTTCTTTTGGTTAATTTTCATTTCATGACATATTCCTACCTGATTCTTTGGTAGGCAAAAAATACTTATATTTGAAGAGAGTTAGATAAACATTTCAATGTCCTTTGTGATCATCAAAACCAAGAATAACAGGGGTTTATTACTACCGTTTAGTTGGAGAAAAAGGCATCTAAAGTGATTAATTAAGCTTAACAACAATAACACAAACTTGATTACGGTTTCATGAATTAAAGCTGGATTAGGGAGTAAGGCGCCAATTGAGCTGCAATATTGGTGCCATTTTTGTGCCTGCTGTGATTTGACAAGAAGATAACATATCACTTATATGTACGTGTAATGACATTCTGGATTATGGAAAGAAACAGAGGAAATAACAAGAACAAAAATGGAAAGGAAATTGTGATGAAACTAGTGGTCCTGATATGCATTGGAGTAGCAGCAACAAAGTGAAGAATTAATTGTTGTTTTAAAATAGTTGCAAACACAGCAGTAAAGGTACAAAATTATTTGTTCCTTTAACTTTCCTTTACTAGTGCTGCTCATTTAACTTTCCTTTACTAGTGTTGCTCGATTCCACCTCTGTCTTTTGTCTAAATCTTGATATTGAACATTCATTTTGTTTATTAAGTGGATTTTTGAGTTAATCATTGACACTTAACTCAAGCCATTGCATATTATGTGTGAGACTACTGTGAAATCTTGTGCTACATGTATGCTGTGAAGATTAGTTGATCATAATTATTCTTATGTTAATGAAAGTTGAGTAGCATGCTGCTGAGTTATATAACCAATGTTTCTAGTTTCTAGATGATGTTTTCTCAAACTAGCTTTGGTTGTGATCATCATCATATTTGAATGCTGAGATTGTAGGATGGGGAATCTTGCTGCCGCCTATGACATTATGGTTCATTGTAATGGGAACAAAATCAGGATTCCAAATGTGGATCCAACTGGCTATACGTACATCTCCTTGCTATTTGATGTAACTGAGAAGACAATGAGTAAAATGCTTGGCAATGTTAATATGCTTATGCAAATGAGATGTGAAGTTCCTGGAAAAAATTGCATGATGGATGTTAATGATGATGATTCAGTTACTGAGATGTTCAAAATACATAAATCTAAATTAGTAATTAACTTGCATGTGTCTGATATGGAAATTATTCTAGTTGATGAAGAGAATACCTTAGTGAATGTGAGAGAAATGAACAAAAAAGATAATTTAGGCATTGAACAAATTCCTAGCAAGGCAGTAGTTGTAGACATTGGACAGTTGGATGATAACTATGGTGACTCTAGCTCTGATTCTTTGTGGAAACACAACCTGCATAGTGACACTGATGAGGAAGTAGTTGATGATAGGGCAGTAGATGCATATAGTGAGGACAGTGACACTAATTTTTCTAATTTTGAGGACAATGAGGCTCTTGTTGTGGTTCCTGATTCTGAATCTGAGGAAGAAAATGATCCTATGAGACAAGTAATGAGATAAAAAATGTGGATTTACAATAGCAAAGGTGAGATAGAGCTTCAAAAGGGTCAGTTATTCACCAACGTGGATGCCTTCAGAGCTGCATTGAAAGACTATGTCATTCAAAAAGGCTTTCCTATTTTGAGATTAAAGAACGAGAAGAGTCGAGTCACTGCTGTCTGTGGTGTTGAGGGATGTCAATGGAGAATTCATGCTTCAGCAGTGGCTGATTCAGTCACTTTTCATATTAAAAGCTATCAACCAAAACACACTTGTGTTATGGACAAACAATGTGCTGAGGCCACATCTGACTGGATGGCCAAGAAGTTGGTTTTTGTCATGAGGGATCATCTTAATATGACCAGTAAAGGGGTAGAGACAGAGGCAGAGTTGCTTAAGTATGGTATGAGCCTAGTAAAATGCAAATTTTTAGAAGGCACACAAAGCACTAGCTGAGATAGAAGGCACACATGCTGAATCATATACAAAATTGCCAAGATATGCTGAGCTGCTAAGAAAGTATAATCCCAATAGCATATGAAAAATACATTATGATAGGCCAAATATCTTAGTTGTGCCTGCCTTCCTAAGAATCTTTGTTAGTTTCACAGCACAAAAGTTAGGATTTCTGGAAGGGTGCAGACCTTTTGTGGGGTTTGATGGCTGTTTCTTGAAGGGTCCATTTGATGGTGTATTGCTCACAGCAGTTGCTTTGGATGCAAATAACAACATATTTCCTTTAGCCTTTGCTGTAGCTGAATGTGAGAGCAAGGATACTTGGAGGTGGTTCTTCTACTATTTTTCTGAGTTTTTTGGACCATTTGATCACAGCAAACCTTTAACATTCATGAGTGATAGGCAAAAGGTAAAATTTCTGTCCATAGCTTTTCATGTTTAATTTGAAAATAGTTGCTGAGTCATTTTGTTTTAGTTACAGGGATTGAATCTTGCATATGAGGAGATGATTCCTGAGGCAATTGGAAGGCATTGCTGCAGGCATATATGCAGCAACTTTAAGAGTCAATTTCTAGGTATCTTACTTAGCAGTTTCTTTTGAAAGGCAGCGAAAAGTTATGATGCAATAGGACACAATGATGCAATGGCTAGCATTAAAGACATTAACATAAATGCTTGGAAATATTTGGATAAAATTCCAAGAACTACCTGGTGTAGACATGTATTCTCAACTGAGTTGAAATGTGACCATGTCACAAATAATTTTACTGAGTCTTTTAATGATTGGATTGGTGATCTAAGAGGAAAACCAATACTAACTTTGGTTGATGGTTTAAGAAGAAAGTTCGTGAAAAAAATGCACAAAAGGTACTAGAAAGGCTGCACCTTGACTGGTCACATTACTCCCAGAATTGTTGAGAAACTGAAAGAAATTAGCCAAGCATTAAGAAAATGTCACATGCATATGGCTAGTGAGGATACATTTGAGGTTGGTGATATGGACAGGACCTACATAGTCAACTTGAGGCAAAGAATTTGGGACTATGGTGCTTTTCAAATTTCTGGAATTCCATGCAAGCATGCAACATTAGGAGTTATATATAGGAGAGAAAAACTAGAGAAGTACTATGGAGTTTGGTTCACCAAAGACATGTATTTAAAAACATACTCGCACATGATTCATCCCATTCCTCATATGAAGAGATGGCCTCCTATGCCTGAAGTGCTACCAACAACTGTCTTGCCACCACCTCTGAGAAGAGCTCCTGGTAGACCAAGAGTAAATAGAAGAAGGGAAGCTGATGAAACTGCTTGCACAGCACAGGCAAAGAGGTCAAACACTCTTAAGTGTGGAAATTGTGGAGCTTTTGGTCACAATAAGAGGACTTGCAAAGGAGCACCTGTGCAAAAAAGCTCTAGCAACACTACTCCTACTGAACAGGTATACATTGCCCAAAATATGATATTATTCTTGTCTCCTAACTATTACTTATAGGTATATTGAATTTGGTATCACAAATGTCAATTAGAAGAGGTAGACCTGGTAGAGGAATGGCTAATACAGGCCTGTCAGGAGCAGTTCTCTGGGTAAAGTACAATTATCATAATAATTCCTAATTCCTGAGTCAATCGAGTAGTTTATCTACTGCAAATCTCATTGCAGCGTACATCTCATGTTTTAGGATCATGCAACTAGAAATGTACCTATTGTGCACTCCAGTCAAGGGAGCAATCCAAGCCCCCCAAGTCAAAATGGTGCAGCACATATTCAAGTGAATGTGCAAACTACTGCAACTACTCATGCTAATAAAAAGGTATGATCCTAATCTGCTATCCTAAATTTCTGTCAATAACATAATTCTAGCTACTGTTTCCTATTTCTGATGTAGTTTATGTCTCAAATGTAACAGAGAGGAAGGCGTTTTGGACACAATCCTGCAACTTCTGTAACAGAAGTTGGTGGTAGAGCAAAAAACTTCAACTCTGCTCTAACTAATCTAGTTGTTCTAGTTCCACCTACCATTACATCTCAAAATGCTTCATCTGTTAGCATAAACGCATCTACAAATCAGCACACCAAAAGCATTCATAGTACCAGTAGTTTCAGCATGCTGTTTTGACAAGATGGTGCTGAATTCCAATTGTTAGTTATGTCTATTTAAATCTCTTTTGTTAATGCTTTTGTTAATGCCTTCTTACAGTGATTAAGAACTGTGGAATTGCAACCCTCACCATCTGCATATAGTGTTTTGATGCAGATGGTGTTTTGTATTGCAGTGATGCACACGTGATGTTGTATAAATTCCATGCAACTGGCATTTTAGCTAATGTAATGTCCTGCATTTGATATTTAATCTGTCTTTTTGTTACTTTTCACACTGAATTGTTTGCAAACTTGGCATAATGGATGACAAATAAGAAATAATGTAGTGATTAATTGCTTCACTCTGAAGTCCAAAAAGCTGCATACACAGTTTCACATTGGTGCTTAAATTAATTCCAAGTAACTTAGCCTTCTGGTGTGAATCTCCTATCACTAGGTACAGTATTGCAGCACAGTAACATGAGTTCATCGAATTGATTTTACAATTTGAATGAAAATAAATATAGCTAATAGGGTGAGGTTTATGATGATCAGTGCATTCCCTAAGGCTCCTGGTATCAGAAATTGCTTTGGCCCTGCAACTTGCCTAACTGGAATGCCATCTCCATTTCTGGCATTAACTTATCCTCTTTCTGCATTGAGGTTGTTTCTTCTACTATTTACTTCCTCTTCTTAACCGCTATACCATTCAAAGTACCTGCACTTTGCACAATAGAAATACAACATGTCTGGATTCCTTTCACTCTCTGATATCATTATGGTTGCCTTGCGATTACAGTGGCAAAACCTATTTGTAATGGAGAAAGATATGGGTGAATTCCATGATTCTCCCCTACGGCTTGAAGAGGCCATGGTTGCAGCTAAAACTTTTAACTCAGAGCTCTAATTGCAGTACAGTAAATTCACTTTGTTATCACTCCAAATCAACAGCAAAGAATGATAATAGCTTGAAACCTTAGAGGTAGTTAAGTTGCTTTGCTTTAATGCTATTGCTACTGAATGTGCAAAAATCTGGCTATTGCAATTTGCAGCTAGCCGCTGCAAAATCTACAAAATAACTGTTGCATGGCACATCTGGTGCTTTTAATTTTTTGTATTGCACTTACACCCCCTCAACTTTAGTAATCAGTCCAAATCATTTATTCTTCTTTCAATCTTCTACTAATACAAGGAGCAAAAGGGCAGCCATAGAATAAAAATGCCTTCTCACACATGAAAATAATATTGTAATATGATTTGGACTCATTGTTACCAAAAACTCAAAAGCAAGGGAGGTCAATGAAATTTTGAGAACCTCAGGGGATGTCAGTGAAAGTGTCAGAAATCTAAGGGGAGGTTTATGAAATTATCCCAAAAAAAAAAACCCAAGTGTCCATCTGCATGAAGTGACTAGGTCAATTGTGCTGTCTTTTTGGTAGGATTCTCAATGGGTCTGGGTTAGTTACTGTTGGGCTAGAAAATTTTGGGATCAAGCCTTGTGCATTAATTGGCTAGATAGTGTTTGGGCCTAAATATAAGGTCTGATTAAATTGTCAACCAAGTATGGACTTTATTTGACTTGATCTGATTAAAGCTTGGCCGATAAAATTTGTGTGTGTGTGTGTGTGTATGTACATATATAATGTGTATATCTTAATTTTTATGTGTAATTGTGTATTAGTGGTGATATTGGGTCAAGCCTAAAACAAGTCCAAAATTGTGATTGTAATGTGAGCATGGTATGGGTTTCACCACAGGAGCCCGAAACCTAAAAACTACAACGTCCAAAATTCCACTTTCTTTGCGAGTCGAGTTGGAGTTTGTTAAAACCGGACTCACAAAGCCTGAAAGCTCTACCTCCTAGAACCAGTTCTCGAGCAAGCACATCCACCTTGCTTCACGTATGGAGAAAATACGAATGTTTATTAATTTCACAACTAATAATATTTTTTAATTGCTTGATAATGGTTTTTATACATATTTATAGCTATGACTAAAATTAAAGCTTTTTTTTTTGAAAAAAAGAATAGCATATGGACTCCTACCCATTTCCTATGTATATAGATAAAAAGGAGTTGTTGTATGACTCTTGGGTGATTTTTATTTGACCTTTGTAGGGGCGTTTTGGGAATAGTAAAATTGTAATAGCATTGATTAAGCAAAGTGCACAAATTTGTGCTGCCTAATTTCGCATGTTTTACCTACTGTACCCTTTGGTGGCTTATGGTTTCTACCTTTTGGTGGCTAATGATTTGGCTACTTTGCCATTGATTTAGCAAAGTGGGTAGAAAAACAAAATCAACTCCCCTTAAGTATGTTCAGCTAATTGATTATGCAAATTAAATACATTTAAGACAATATTAGTGCGCTAAAGCTAAAGATGAATGCTTGAATTGTAACGGTAGAAGGCTCCATCTGCTTCATCCTCAAACTTCAAGAACCATTAACTTAGCTCTTGCAACAAATGACACTTATTTGAATCAGTAACTACGGCATGTTGATAAGGCTATTAAAGTGTGAGCATTTGGGGTGACCATTATGAGAGTAACTACAGGACCTCCCATTTTCTTCAACATTTGCTCATCAATTTCTGAAGTAGGTTACAATAATGGCAGTTGTTAAGAGACAAAATTATGGATTCAAATGGCCCTGTTGCACAATAGCAGAGTTGGGTTTGAAGAGGTATGCTCAATTTTGCTCTTGTTTTCTGGTCTATGGGTTAGATAACTTCCATTCAACAATCAAAATCGTGAATAAGCTCCTGTGCTTGCTATTGTAGGCAGGTGAAGTATGGAGAGATCTTGCGCTTAGATTGTACTTTGTTTCTGAGATACAGGGTAACTCTGTGTTCCCATTTGATGCATGTCATTTGTTGATTAAATGTGATTACAATTGTACTTGATCCAATTGAATTGTGTGCTCGAATGAAAAATTGTGTGAATGATTGTTTCACTTTGAAAATTAAATTGCAGTTGATGCAATTTATTGGTTCAATAGTTAAGCGACTGAGATATTATATGTGGATAAAATTTGCCATTTGAAAAGACAAGTGGCTATATTTACATGCTCTATTGTTTTGTACTGAATTTCGTAGACTTGATAATTGTTTGATGCAAGTTAGTATTTGTAATGAGGAAAATTTATTTCACCTCTAATTATTTGTAGATGCATGTATTGATCAAAATAATGGTTTTTAGTTGTAGTAGTTAAGCAAACAAATAGTATATCTAGATTTTTTGTGTTTAAGTTAGGGCCTATGGCTTGAAATTTAGGATGGATAAAAACAAGTAATATTGATAAACGTAATGCTAAGAAGCAACTTTGAAATCAAAAGGCAAGCAAAAGATATGCATTGTTATCAGCGAAAGAAAAAAATAAGGTACGATAGAAACAATGAAAAACAAGCGTAAAGCGTAGAAAATACAAATTCGTTTTGTTGAAACAACTAAACATAACAATGGTCCAGATTGAACAACCCAATTTTGTTTGAAAGATTAAATGTAGCAAAAAATGATTCACATGATAGCACCATTAGCTTCCATTTGTATTAGACATTGAACAGGAAAGTAGGGACCATACCAACAACCTCTATTTATTATGTGATGCAAATTATGTGATGCCAAGTTATTAACCACACCACAGGTATCAATCTCCACTCTTTGCATGGGACTTCCCTCTAGTATAGCAAAAACAAGGAAACTTAAAATCTGACTTTAACTTTCAATCTTATTTTTTCTCCAATAGGAGTTCCAGCTATAATTTCATAAACTAAATGTACATTAGGAACGATTCTTACTGTTGTTGTAACTTTTGTTTGCTTTTCATGATTTAGTTACTCTGGGACTTTTGGTCTCGTATAAATGTACAATTACATTATTGGAACATAATTGGAATTATATAACAAATCATTAACGCTAGGATTTAAGGGGGAAAAAAGCAATCATTGAGTTACTAATATAAATAAAATCATTTATAAAAAATCTACACTTATGGAAACAAAATATTTGGATATTTTCGTCTAGCAATATACATAAGAGGCCTCATTTTTTTTCCTTCCAGTACGAAAGATAACTTGCATCACACAAGAGGTCTCATTTGAAACAATCATTTGTGTGATTAAAGATGGCAAAGTTTTGCATGTTGTTTCTGTGCATAACTGTTCTCATTATGCTTGCACCAGGTATAAGCTAATTGATGTAGATATGTTGTACCTTTTAAATTCTTTTCCCATTTACATGAAATTTTTCTTAGCACAATAGAGGAGTGGAATTTAAAAAGTAAGAGAGAGTAGGGAAGATTAAATCCAGGATCTCTGATTTTTGGAGATTTCAACTTTAACTATTAGATTAAAACCTTCTTAGCAAAATAGTATTAGACTGAAATGCTAGCCAGCTTGAATATATTCTAATTGTGGTAGATTAGGATATCCTATTCTAACTATTCTGGAATAGCATTTTCATATGGACAACAAAAAATTTTAAAAACTAAAAAAATACTATATTCATCTAACATCAATGATACACGAAAATCACAATGAGTACTTATATCCTTCGTATTTTCCAAAGAGATGCAAAACTGTTATTGCTGCTTTCTGAGAAGTTTTTTACTTCATTTAAACACTAAACCATTTGGTTTTCAATTGTTCACAGTTTCTATTGGCAGTAATGAGAAAATATTTTGTAATGCAGTTGACAGGATCATTCCTTTCGTCCATGCGGACCGTTCCTGCGAGACTATTACTGATAGTAACTGAACTTCTGTGGGAGCCCAAGCATGGCGATAAACTATTATTTAGTGCCTGTGGTACTAGATCTGGTAAAAGCTCTTGTGTTTGTGATTACAAATGCTAGAAGCCAATCACTATTGTCACTAAATTGTATTTCGTGATTTGAAGTAAAAGGATTTCTTTCAATATTTTTCATTTTATCGTTCAATTTAACGTTAAATGTTACACGTGTTGCTCCTGAATATTTCAATAAAATTGGCTCTTGTTCTGCTGGATTAATATTTGGATTAATAAAATGCTACCAAGACCTCAATGGGGAAGGAAAGTTTTTTGTATCATGATAAAAAGAGGAAAAAAAAGGGAAAAAGACAGAAATTAACAATTAATAGGTTTTCTATTTTCAGATGTAGAAAAATCGTGATATCATGTCATCAGAGGAGATAAAATAATATGAACTTCTACGATTGGGAGTCACATATAAGGGGCGAAATGCTAATAAAACAAACTTGGAGGGGCAAACTACAACTTATTCCTAATTACAAATAGGTTTAGTGCAATTAAGCCCTCTAGAAGTTATACTTTTCACCGGATATAAACATAAGTCATGAATCTAACGGTGATAGTGTATACACTATCAGTGTATATAAGATTTACTCTACAAAATATCAAAGTCTACTAAACTTGTAATTCAACTTGGCGATATAGAGTCATTATTTTGATTAAAATTGAAAAAGTGGAATTGATTACTTCTAGCTACAATGAATTAATAATTTTATATTAAAACGTGTTAAGAAGAACAACGAGTTTTATTATGTCACTAAACAACTTATAGATTACTTTATAAGTTATTCATTAACCAATTAAAATTTGCCGAAAGGTCATTAATGGGTCCAATTACCATAGTACATGCCAAGTCATTATTTGAATTTTTTAAATCCTCCTTTAACTTTTCTTTTAAAATTTGTTTGTTCTTTAAATACCTCTTAATAAATCCAACTCTAGCTTATTCATCATTTTTTTTTGTTGGGGGAGGATCCACTATTATCCCAATCATTGTCTATCCCTTGCAAAGTAGCTGAGTCAAATCAGCTCTCCACCACCACTACTGTTGCCTGTGTAGACAAAGAAAATTTATTTAATTTATTTTAGTCAAGATTTATTTAAATTAAATTGATTTTGAT